GCGATGGCTCCGTTCGTGAGTGAATTGCTGTGAAGTCTCGATCAGGGGCCCAGAAGGAGGAGGAAGAGGAGGAGGGGGAGGAGGAGGAGGTGGAACTGAAGCCATGTGCTTTTACATAGGTTCTTTTCGCCCGTGGGCTCAAACCATGTACGTTTCCATGGATTCCTGTCGCCCGTTGGCTCAAACCATGCGTTCTTGCGTTGGCACTTTTCGCCCGCGAGCTCGAACCCAGTGTTCTCTATGTGGCTTCCTTTTTATCGTGTGCTCGAAACACGCGTTTTGACATCAGTTCCATTCGCCAGTGAGAAAACACTGGAGGATGTCTCGATCGGGGGCCTCGGGTCCAGAGCTGATTTTCCAGGGAACAGCTGGGACGGTATCTTCAGCATTGCCATTGCCCGTAGCCTGAACTACGCGCTTTGAAACGTATTTTGGCTCGGCGCAGTCTCGCTTTGTCCGGTCTCGATCCTTCCGGTTTCGTTTCGGTCTTCGTCTCGGTTCGAACTGTTTCGGTTCGTCATGTTTCAGTTCATCACGTCTCGGCTAGCAGCGTTTCGGTCCGTCCCTTCTCAGTGCGTTTCGTCTCGGTTTTAATTCGCCCTCCCTCGGTTCGTCCCGTTTCGAAAGTGAGTCGGATCGTGATTTCGAGCTTGTTGAGCGTCCCGAAAGTTTCGATTGCAACCAGCTCTGGGCCAGCCATGCGTTCAGGCAGTGCGAGCTCGAGATCCAAATCAATTCGGTCAGGATTCTGATGCCAAGGACGACTCGATCCACAACGCAATAGGGTGCAGGACAGTTCAACACAGCATGACGCAGCACAGTTCAGCACAGCACAGCACAGCACAGCACAGCCCCCTGTCACAGTATCATCAAGATCGATATATTAGGCATTGCCATTCCCCATCATCCAAATGAGGTGCATTGTAACGTTACCATGCCTCGCAGTTCTAAATCCCTTCTCGGGCTCGTTAGGTCGCTCGTGTTTTGCGCAGGCCTTACGGCCGGTGCCGCCGACCCTTAAGGAGGAGGAGGACGACGACGACGACAACGACGACGAAAACATTCAAAACTTGAGGGACTATCTTTCAGTTTACCCTCTTGGGGTTGTCTTGGGAGAGCTCGTGGGGCTCTCTTGGGCCCCTTGGGGGTATCTTGGGTCCTCCTGGAGCTTCTCTTGGGCCCTCCTGGGGGTCTCTTGGGGTGGAAGCCTCGAACTGTCGGTTGGTGTTCCCCCTCCTGGGAGCCTCTTGGGGTTTTCTTGGGGCCCTATCGACCTTTTGGGCGGTCTCGGGGCCGTCTTGGGTTGTCTTGGGACCGCCTTGTGTTCTTTCCGGACACTTTCGGTATCCTTTTGGACTGTCTTGGGGTGATTTCGGAGGCTTCCTGGTCCGTTTTGGAGCGTCGGAAGCCCGAAAAGGCGAGGACGCGAAAACATAGCAAAACTACATGGGACTCGTTGATTTTCGCCTCTTGGGGTCCATGGGGGCTCCTCTTGGAGCCTTCTTTGCGCGTCTTGGGGGCTTCTCAGGCTGTTGAGGGTATCTTGGGCCGTCTTGGAGCGATCTTGGGCTGTTCCAGGGCCCTTTTGGAGCAAGCCGCGGTGCAAGTGAGCTCGAGGCGCCTGAGAGGCAAGAAATCGAAGGGGAAAGCTTCCCCCAGGTCGCAACCCTGGGAGAACCCGCCCCCGGGGACCCTCCAGAATCCCTCCAGGACCTCCTCCCCGGGAGCCCCCCTCCCTCGTCCAGGCGGGGGAGGGATCAAAAAGGAAGGGGCTTCCCTTCGACTCGATTACGACGTTGCTCGATTTCCCTGGCTGGAATGTTTGAGGGGGGCCCAGGGACGCGGGGGGAGCGGCGACGGCGATGACAACGCCTCAAACGGAAAATTCTCAAGGGAGGGGAGCGGCGACGACGACGACTCCAACGGAAAAGCTCCTCACACACGCCGACAGAGGTCGGCGGACTCCCTGCCATCCTGTGGTGTTGGGTCCTCGTTTTGAATCAGCAGCGCCCCGAGTCTCCACCTCCCCTCCTCTCCTCTCCTCTCCTTCTCCCCTCCTCTCCTCTCCTCCTCTCCTCTCCTCCTCTCCTCTCCTCCTCTCCTCTCCTCTCCTTTTCCCCTCCTCTCCTCCACCGCCGCCCAGCGCAGGCCCACTGTGGCACACCCCTCCCGCACTTCGTGGCCCCGCAGGGAGCTCCACCGAAGCCCCAGTAGCAGGGTTTGCATGCGGCTTCCGCCCTCCGAATGTCACTTTCGGCACACTCCTCACACGCCCCGTGGTCCCATAGGGAGCTCCACCGAAGGCCCAGTAGCAGGATCCACATGCGGCTCCCCGCCCACAGCATGTCCAATTCGGCACACTCCTCACACTTCTCGTTGCCCCAGTGGGAGTTGCACCGAATGGCCCACAGGCAGGGTTCACATGCGGTTCCCCACCCACCGCATGCTCATCTTGGCATACCTTCTCACACGTTTCGTGGCCCCATAGGGAGCTCCACCGAAGGCCCCAGTGGCAAGGTTCACATGCGGCTCCCCGCTCTTTGCGGCACACCCTCTCACACCTTTGGTGGTCTCATAGGGAGCTCCACCGAAGGCCCCAGTGAGAGGGTCTACATGCGGTTTCCCACCTATTGCGGTACACCACTTGCACGCTTCGTGACCGCATAGGGAGCTTCCCACAATGCCTTGCGGTATTCACTATTGCACATGCTTTGGTTCTTCGCCAGGTGTGTTGTTTTTTGGGGAGGAGGCTTTGGCATTGATCTTCCACGCTGGCACCCAAGGGGTCGGCGAATCTGGCGCGGCCAGGCGCTGTATGATCTCTCGTTGCCGCCTGGCGTGCTGGAGGGGCGAGCGATCCCAGTGCCAGGCGCGGGCCAAGAAGAGTGGCGCATCGGCGCAGGTGCGCAGAGCGGGCGGGGCACGCCGACCCACGGCGTGCATGGCTTCGGATGCAGCTCCTGGGAGGCCTCGGCCTGCGCTTCACCCGACCAAATCCGGCTCAGTGACCCCCCGGGTCCGGCTCCATGGCCCCTGGTCGCTCTCACGGAGACCTCCGATGAGCTGCCTCCTAACGTGACAGCGGGTGGGAGCGCTCCCTCAGCAGGCTGGTGCCGCAGCGGATCCCAACAGCAGAGCAACAAGACAATGCAACCACAGCGAGTGAACGTCAAGACACGAATGCGGGCATGAGCTGTCTTCCTGGTCGCCACGCTTTTCCGCAAGGGCTGCGGCTCCTCTCGTCCCGCCCACCCGGGCGCGGCCCTACCTGCAGTAGAGCCGGGTGGGCGCTCGCCATCGGGACCCAGAACTGTCACCCTGCGCTCCCTACGAGAAATTCGGGAGAGCCCACCAAACCACCCCAACCCAACCCGAAGGCCCCAATTTGCCCTCCATTTCCAGTTGGGGGGGGTCGGGGAACGTTGAGAAAGCACACATGAAGCCCGTACCCCCCCCCCCAACCCGAAATTCGGGTCTTCGGGTTGGGTTGGGGTGGATTGGTAGGTAGTCATCCCCCCTCCGACCGCAGGCTGGTGCCCCAGCGCTTCCCCAACTACTCCCTCCGCATGTCCAACCTCAGCGCGTCCGTGCTGCCCAGCCAGCTCGCCAGCCTCGAGGCCCGACGGGGGGGGGCAGGGCGCCGGCACGGGCCGCGGCCCCGCGCTCGTCGAGGGGGGCGGGCGGGGAGGTCAGGGAGAGGGAAAGGCCAGCACTAGATGAGGTATAGAGAGAGAGAGGGAGAGAGAGGGAGGGAGAGAGGGAGAGAGAGAGGGAGAGAGAGAGAGAGTGAGAGAGAAAGGCACTTGTGCATACATGGTTCAATGTGTATACGTACGTCTCTCTCTCTCTCTCACCGTGTTTCTTGCCATCTTTCTCTCTCTCTCTCTCTATCTCTCCTCTTGTCTTTTTCCCAACCATCGTGTGGTCTTGGGTCCTCGTTTTGCAGAGAGAGCGCCCCGCGATCCCCACTCCCTCCTTCCTCCCTCGCCTCCCTCCTACCATCGTTGCCTCTGCCGTACGCATGTCAACCATTACGGCACACCCCTCGCACGGTTCGTGGCCCCATAGGAAGCTCTACCGAATGCCCCAGAGGCAGGGTTCGCATGCGGCTCCCCGCCCATCCGATTCGGTACACCATTCACACGTGTCGTGGCCCCATAGGAGCTCCACCGAAGGCTTCAGAGGCAGGGTTCGCATGCGGCTCCCCGCCCACCGAATGGCCTTTTCGGCACACCCGGTCACACGTGTCGTGGCCCCATAGAGAGCTACCGAAGGCTCCAGTGGCAGGGCTCGCATGCGGCTCCCCGCCCACCGCATGTCCATTTCGGCACCCCTCTCACACGTTTCGTGGCCCCACAGGGAGCTCCACCGAAGGCCCCAGTAGCAGGGTTCGCATGCGGCTCCCCGCGCACCGCATGTCCATTTCGGCAGACCGCACACATTCCGCGGCTCTGTGGAGAGCTCCACCGAAGGCCCCAGTAGCAGGGTTCACACGCGGCTCCCCACTCACGGCATGCCCATTTCGGCACACCCATCTCACACGTTTCGCGGCCTCCTGGGGAGCTCCACCGAGGGCCTCGGTGGCAGGGTTCGCATGCGGCTCCCCGCCCACCGCATACCCATTTCTTACCAGCCTGGAACATATCCCTATCCCTATGCTGGGCACCTCCTCATCACGATGCCAATCTTAGGGATTCCCTTACTTTTTCAGGGCGAATCCCTAAGATTGTCATCGCCTTTTGGCGCGTCAATCTTAGGGATAGGGATACGTTCGAGGCTGGTAAATTTCGGTATACCCCTCCCACGTTCCGAGACCCCATAAGGGAGCTCCACCGAAGGCACACCGCCGACGCGCTCGTGGCCCCCTAGGCTCGCGGCGGCTCCCGTGCGCTCGGCCTCCGGGAGCCTCCCGGCGCCCGCGCGCTCTGCCCGGCGCCTGGCCCGCTGTCGGTCGCCCGTGTTTTCCCCGCGCGCGTCGCCGGGGCTCCTTCGAGGCGACCGGCGCGCGTCGCGGAAACTCCGCAGATTTGGACGCCCGAAATGGGTACGGAAAGAAGGGGCATAATGCCCAACAACAAATGTTGTCCCAAACCAACAGCGGCCGCTGTTGGGCAGGCGGCCTTCTGTCTCGAATGGCCACAGGCCGCGGCGCCGTGGACAGCGAATCCTGTTCAAGATGAACAGGAACTGCTGTTGGGCATTGTACCCATTCATTCCGTACCCATTTCGGGCGTCCAGAGCAGAGCGCGTTGCCCCAGAGCCGCGGTCACCGGGGCGCAATTTTCAAATAGGGGATAGGCACGATAGAAGGACATGGATACAAACCGGCGGGGTTCAGGAGGGGAAAAAGCACGCAGACACAAGTGTTCTTCGATTCCCAGAAAATATGGGGAAATATGGGAAGTGGGGGGGAAGATGAAAACCCAGGAAAAATGGGAAAAGGTTTTTTTTTATATGTGTGTATTTATTTGTGTGTCCCAGGGCCCCTTCAGGGGTCTGGGTCTCGGCCGACCGCGGGCCAGGCGGGCAGTTGCGCAACGCCGCACATGGGAAACAAGGTGAGGATTGAAAGAGCTGGGAAGGAAGTGGGCACGAAACGGCGGCGCAGAGGGCTCGCGCCAAGCAGTACATTGCCCCGCGAGCCCAACGGCTTTTCCCTTCCAGTCAACGCCGCAGTCCTTTTCCTTGCCCCCTCCTCCTTCTCACTTGCCCCGCGATCATCGGAGCTGTTCATGGTTGGGTGCTTCGCGCCAGGATCATTTCCTCTACATCTTCTCATTTCTTCTGCGTCTTTAGATTTTCTGTTTGCACATAGGAATCGAGTGCGTTCGACTGCAGTCTGTTGACGTAATTTCCAACCATCCTATAAAGTTGGGTTCTCTTTTTGAAGAGACTGTCCCCGCGTCTCCTCCTCTTCCTCCTCCTCCTGCTCCTCCTCCTCCTCCTCCTCCTCCTCTTCCTCCTCCCCCCCTCATCCCCCGTCCACCTCCTCACTTTTGCTCTCTGCATCAGTCTACAATTTTGCTGCATCCCTCACATTTTTTGTGGCGCCATAGGGAGCTCCACCCAAGGCGCCAGTGGTGCCGTTCGCATGCGTCCCCGCCACTCATTTTGGCACGCCCCTCACATGTTTCGTAAAAAGGGCCTTCACCTAAAGACCCAGTAGTGCCGTTCGCATGCGTCCCCGTCGCACATGTCGGCACACCCCTCACACGCTTCGTGGCCCCATGGGGAACCTCACCTACGCTCCAAAGGTGCCGTTGGCATGCGTCCCCGCCACCCTTGTGGGGACACCCCTCACGCGTTTCGTGGCCCCATCGGGGGCGGTGACTCGGGTCCGTTTCGGTAGACCCTTCACGCGTATCGTGGCCCCACAGGGAGCTCCACCGAAGGCCCCAGTGGCTGGGTTCACACGGTGACTCGGTTCCGTTTCGGCAGACCCATCACGCGGATCGTGACCCCACAGGGAGCTCCACTGAAGGCCCCAGTGGCTGGGTTCACACGGTGACTCGGTTCCGTTTCGGCAGACCCCTCACGCGTATCGTGGCCTTGCAGGGGGCTCCACCGAAGGCCCCAGTGGTTGGGTTCACATGGTGATTCGGGTCCGTTTCGGCAGACCCCTCACGCGTATCGTGTCCTCACAGGGAGCTCCACCGAAGGCCCCAGTGGCTGGGTTCACATGGTGACTCGGGTCCCTGGCGGCAGACCCCTCACGCGTAGCGTGGCCCCGCAGGGAGGTCCACCGAAGGCCCCAGTGGCTGGGTTCACATGGTGACTCGGGTTCGTTTCGGCAGACTCCTCACGCGTACCGTGACCCCACAGAGAGCTCCACCGAAGGCCCCAGTGGCTGGGTTCACATGGTGACTCGGTTCCGTTTCGGCAGACCCCTCACGCGTATCGTGGCCCTGCAGGGAGCTCCACCGAAGGCTCCAGTGGCTGGGTTCACATGGTGACTCGTGGCTGGGTTCACATGGTAACTCGGGTCCGTTTCGGCAGACTCCTCACGCGTATCGTGGCCCCACAGGGAGCTCCACCGAAGGCCCCAGTGGCTGGGCTCAAATAGTGACTCGGGTCCGTTTCGGCAGACCCCTCACGCGGATCGTGGCCCCACAGGGAGCTCCACCGAAGGCCCTAGTGGCTGGGTTCACATAGTGACTCCAGTCCGTTTCGGCAGACCCCTCACGCGTATCGTGGCCCCGCAGGGAGGGTCACCGAAGGCCCCAGTGGCTGGGTTCACATGGTGTCTCGGGTCCGTTTGGGCAGACCCCTCACGCGTATCGTGGCCTTGCAGGGGGCTCCACCGAAGGCCCCAGTGGCTGGGCTCACATGGTGACTCGGGTCCCTTCCGGCAGACCCCTCACGCTTATCGTGGCCCCGCAGGGGGCTCCGCTGAATGCCCTAGTGGCTGGGTTCACATGGTGACTCGGGTCCGTTTCGGCAGACTCCTCACGCGTACGGTGGCCCCACAGGGAGCTCCACCGAAGGCCCTAGTGGCTGGGTTCACATGGTGACTCGGGTCCCTGGCGGCAGACCCCTCACGCGTATCGTGGCCCCACAGGGCGGTCCACCGAAGGCCCTAGTGGCTGGGTTCACATGGTGACTCGGGTCCGTTTGGGCAGACCCCTCACGCGTAGCGTGGCCCCGCATGGAGCTCCACCGAAGGCCCCAGTGGCTGGGCTCACATGGTGACTCGGGTCCGTTTGGGCAGACTCCTCACGCGTAGCGTGGCCCCACAGGGAGCTCCACCGAAGGCCCCAGTGGCTGGGCACACATGGTGACTCGGTTCCGTTTCGGCAGTGTCGTGGCCCCACAGGGAGCTCCTCCGAAGGATGCCGGTTAGTGTCCCCCCCCTCTGGGGCCTCTCTTGGGCCGCTCTTGGAGCTTCATTGGGCCATCTTGGGGGCCTCTTGGGCCGTTTGGGGTCTTCTTGCGCGGTCTGGGAGCGCTCTCAGGGCCCCCAGGTCGCAGTCTTGTGGCGACCTTGGGGGCCTTTCGGGCAGTCTTGGGGCGTTGAAAGCCCGAGGAGCATGACTTATTTTGGCATCTCGGAGCCCTCTTGGGGGGCCTCTGGGGGCCCTCTTGGGGCGTCTTGGGGCCCTCTTGGGCTGTCTGTGGGCCATATTGGGCGACTTGGAGCGCTGTCAGGCCTTCTCGGAGGCCTCTCGTGCCTTCTTGGGCGTTCCTTCGGTCCCTCTTGGCCCGGCTTGGGGCCTTCTGGCTTCTGGACAAGGCATGCGGGTAAGCCCGGGCAAGCGCGGGCACGCTAAGGAGTTGAGATTTTGGGCTCACCACCCCTACATTGAAGACTCCAAGATTGAAATACAGAGTACAGATAACTCTAGAAGCCCGGGGAACACTCCACTTGGTGCCTCGAGGCACGGTGGCGGCAATGAATCTGCATGCGCAGATGTATGTATGTATGCATGCATGCATGTATGCATGCATGCGTGCATGCATGTATGTAATGTAATGTAATGCAATGTAATGCAATGTAATGTACTGTAATGCAATGCAATGCAATGCAATTTAATGTAGTGTAGTGTAGTGTAGTGTAGTGTAGTGTAGTGCAGTGCAGTGCAGTGCAGTGCAGTGCAGTGCAGTGCAGTGCAGTGTATGTATGTATGTATGTATGTATGCATGCATGCATGCATGCATGCATGCATGTATGTATGTCTGTATGTATATACGTATGTATGTATGTATGTATGTATGTATGTATGTATGTATGTATGTATATATGTATGCATATATGTATGTATGTATGTCTATGTGTGTGTGTATGTAATGTATGTATGTATGTATGTACGTATGTATGTATATGTATGTATGTATGTATGTATGTATGTATGTATGTATGTATGTATGTATGTATGTATGCTTTTATGCATGCATGCATGTATGTATGTGTGTATGTATGCATAACCATATGTTAATGCACACGTGCATGCATATGTACATGCATAGATACACTCATATGCATATGCATATGCAGATCTGGTTTTGCATGGACGTGCACATGTAGGTACATTTGTACCCGCATAGGTCTATACATCTATACACGCAACATATGTATAGGTAACTTTTTCATGTGCACACATGCATACAACTACGTATGCAAACATGTAGCTGTTGGCGTGTATTTATGGACATGCAGCTGTCAATGAATACATACAATCTGAACATGTGTATACCATGTGCATTAGCGTGTGTGTATGTATATACACCTATACACACATACACAGGGAGAGAACGAGAGAGAGGGAATGGAATATTGGCTTGGCAGGAGCGGGGGAGGTCAGGGGGAGGGTGTGAGCCACCTATCTTTTTCTCTTGGTTTGCCGACTTTCGCTGTGACATGGGAGGAGCGCATCAAAGAGTCCAACGCCAAGTACAACCTCCTGTCTAGCCGCTTCGTGAACGAGGTTGCGCTTTCTGCTGTTTTTCAACTCCTTCGCCGTACTTGCGTAAGCACGCGTAGAAGTGATGCTGGCTCCTAGGGATGTCAGCTGTGGGCCAAAGCAGCAACTCAGATCGAACATGTAGCCTGTGTGAACGACACTTTCGAAGCATCGGCGCATGAACGTCTCATTGGCTTGTCGATATCGCGATCTGAACGCGACAGCCCTCCGAGTACTGAGCAGGGCCGCTTCCTGACTTCGTGATCTAAAATTGGCTACAGGTGTGCGATGGCGTAGAAGGATGAGGAGGAGACGGGGGCGGAGGGGAGGGTGCGCGGGAATGGGGAGGGGCATGAGGAGGTACATCGATTGGGGTCTTGTTCCCGGGCACCGTCTTGCGTTCTACTCTGCCAGCGTGTGCTGCTGCGATGAGGTCCTCGCCCCGGCTGTTCCAACAGCCTGGCTCTCCCTGGTCCTCCATACAGGCCTCATTTTGAAGCCGGCCAGAGGGGGCTTGCTCGGGCACAGGCTGGTGGCGCCACGACGCACATGCAGCTTCCGCAGACGCGTGCCCGACCGAGCCAGCGCTCTGCACGGTCTTGGCTTGGAGCAGGTCCCAGGAAAAGGGTCTCGAGGGAGGAATCGGAGTCGGAATCGGCCCCATCGCGATGCGAAGTTCAAAGCGCCTACCTCCCCCTGAGCTCCTCGTGGAAGAAGGGGGGAGGAGGGAGCTGGCGAGAACCCGAAGGCGGAGGCAACGGGCGCGCGGCCGCAGGGCGTGAGCCACCCGACCCCGCCGTTACTCGATCGCCCGCCCGCCCGAGGCGGGGCGCGGTGCCTAAGGGCTCGACTACTTTTCGCCAGTCGACTTAAAGGATACAGTCGGTGCCCTGAAGAAGGAACTCTTTTCGTGGGGGAGGGGCTCCATGTTCCTTGATTGCTTCACAGTTTGCCTTGGGTTTTCCTTTGGTTTCCGAAGGGAAATCGAAGTTCAACTTCTGGAGGAAAGGGGCCTCGTTCCTTATTTAGGGTTCCTTAGGTCAGCGCCCCGACTGTAGATCAAGCCGGATAGACCAAGGCGAATGCAGACGAATCGAGGTGAATCCAGTTAGATGGGGGCAAGTCCGGGCAAGTCCAAGGAAATCCAGAGGTCTCCAGGGAAGCTTGGAGCGAATCGTTGCCGCTCCAGCGCGAGTTGAAGGACGGCACAGGTCGTGCATCCCTGTACGAGAGGGGGGCTGGCCAGCTCAGTGCCAGTAGCCGCGGGCCCCCGTCTCGTCTCGAGGAGGCGCAAGCATGGATCCACTCAGGAGGGAAAGACACAGACACAATTCATCGGCGATTCCACAGAAAATATGGGAAAATCTAGGAAGGGGTGGGGGGGGGGGAAGACAAAGAACCCAGAAACAATGGGAAAGTATGTGGAATCTTTTTTTTAAATGTGTGTGTGTGTGTTTATTCGTGTGTCCCAGGAGAGGAAAAAACACACAGACACAATGAATCGTCGATTCCCAGGAAAATATGGGAACATATAGGAAGTGGGGGGGCGGACAAAAATCCAGAACATATGGGAAAGTATGGGGAATCTCCTTGATGTGTGTGTGTGTGTGTGTGTGTGTGTATTTCTTTGTGTGCCCCAGGGCCCCTTCGTCCACGGCGCCTGGATCGGCGACGGGTCCCGGATCGGCGCCCTCCGTCGCCGAGTCGGGCGGCAGCGGGCCTCCTCTCTCGAGGAGCACCGCCCCCGAGCCGTGGCAGTGTGCGCCCGCCTCTCGGGAGAGGAAAAACCACACAGGCACGACTAACCGTCGACTCCCCAGAAAATGTGGGAAAATATGGGAAGTGGGGGGGGAAGACAAAAACCCAGAAAATATGGGAAAGTATGGGGGATCTTTTTATTTGTGTGTGTGTGTGTGATTATTTGTGTGTCCCAGGGCCCCTTCAGCCTCGTCCGTCAGCTTGAGCAGGGCCGAGGGTCAGGGAGCGCCTTCCTCTGCAAGGCCACCGAAAAGGGGACGTCAGGGTTAAGTCGGGCCTGTTCCCCTACAGGAGGAATGTTCAAAAATAGTGACACAATAGTCTGGGGACTATGTTTCGGGCATTTTTGGGCAATTTTGGAGTATTTTGTGAGTATTTTTTCATTATTCGTCGAAAATCCCTCTGTAGGGGGACACGCCCGACTTAACATCAGGGTGGTCGAACGCCTCGCCGGCCAAGCTAGCGAAGCTTGGCAAACAGAGTCCAGCCATTCGCTCGACGCCTTGTGCGGTGCATCACTTTCGGCTCGACGGAACAGGTCGGCTGCGTCCCGTGACGTCCGTTTGGGATGCCGCGCAGACCCGAACCCCCAGCCCTGCTCAAGGCAGCCCCCTCCCCGGTGCGAGCCCCCTCCCTGGTGCGAGCCCCGCCCTGCTCTCGGCCACAGCGGTGCGAGCCCCGCCCGGGCGCGCGCAGTTCATCAAGGGAGGGAAAAACCACCCGCACCGGAGAATCGGCGTTTACTAAACGGCCCCGGGCGTTTACTAAAAAGCCCCGCCTTGTTTGATCCCTTCTCTGGGTGCGTTTACTAAGCGGATTCGCGTGTCGAGGTGGTTATTTCAGGAGAGGAAAAAACACACAGACACAATGAATCGTCGATTCCCAGGAAAATATGGGAAAATACGGGCAGTGGGGGGGAAGACAAAAACCAAGAACATTTGGGAAAGTATGTGGAACCTTTTGATGTGTGTGTGTGTGTGTATATTTATTTGTGTGCCCCAGGGCCCCTTCATCCACGGCGCCTGGATCAGCGACGGGTCCCGGATCGGCGCCCTCCGTCGCCGAGTCGGGCGGCAGCGGCCTCCTCTCTCGAGGAGCACCTCCCCCGAGCCGTGGCAGTGTGCGCCTTGTTTGATTTCTTTTTTGGGTGTGTTTACAAAGCGGATTTGCGTGTCGAGGTGGTTGTTGTCGGGGTGGACGTTTTGCCCTCCAGTTCGGGCGCGCGGGGGGGCGGTGCGCGGGCGGCCCGGGCAGGCGCCCGCCCGACGGGATGGGGGCAGGCCGCGCCGCAGGCCTCCGCCGCTGCGCAGGGCGAGCACCATCCGACGGCACCGCGGCCTCCCTCCTCCCTCCTCCCCTCCTCTCCTCCTCCTCCCTCCTCCCCTCCCTCCTCCTCCCTCCTCCCTTCCTCCTCTCCCTCCACCTCTCCTCCTCCTCCTCCTACCCTCCTCCTCCTCCAATCCTCCTCCTTCCTCCTCCCCTCCCTCCTCTCCTCCTCTCTCCTCCCTCCTCCCTCCTCCCCCTCCTCCCTCCTCCCTCTCTCCCCTTCCCCTCCTCCTCCTCCTCCTCCTCCTCCCCCTCCTCCTCCTCCTCCTCCTCCTCCTCCTGGGCTGGGCGTCTGCGCCTGCGGCGCCGCGCGCAGCGCGGGCCTCCAGCGCGACGGCCGCGAGCCACCGAGCTCACCACCCACCAAGCCACCCCCAAACCTGACCCGAAGGCCTCGATCTGCCCTCCGTTTCTGGTGGCGGGGCGGGGGGGTCTGGGAACACTGGAAAAAACCTATGGAACCCTTACCCCCCTCCCCCCAAACCCGAAATTCGGGTCTTCGGGTTGGGTTGGGGTGGTCTGGTAGGTAAGTCACGAGCGCGTTCCACGACTCGCAGAGTGCCCACTCGCAGGGCGTCCGAGGAACAAAAGCACGTCTCTTCCCCCGCGTGACGTATCGTGAGTCTCCCGCGGCGGATCCAGGTCATTTGCCTTGGCATCGCTCGGACGTGTGCATTTTTCTTCGGCGAGAACCATCGAGGACCATCCTGGACCGTCGAGCAACAAAAAACACGCACGACACCGACAAGTGCACGGGACATGGACGTCCGAGCGACGGCAAGTTGCGAGGAGTATTTTTGCGCGTCGTGGAACGCGCTTGTCCAGAGGGCGCCGGGCCAGGGCAGCGGCGGTGTTTCCGCTCCTCCTGGGCCGCCGCGCGGCGCCGTTCAGGACGGCGCGGCTCGGGCACCGCGGCGTGCCCAGGCGCAGGAGCGCTTGCGCCTCGGGCCCAGTTCGCCCCAGGGCCTCCAGCGCAAAGGCCGCGAGCTGGCGGCGCTCACATGGGGGCGGCGCGAAAGGGGGTTGGCTTTCGAGAGGGCGGAGGGCCTTCTCAGAAGGCGGAGGGCCTCCCTAGAATCCTAGAACTCCCCAGAGGCTTCTGGGAAGGTTTCTTAGGAGCTGGGCGGGCACCCGAAAAGCCCTCCAGCCTTCCTGGAAACCCCGCCGCGTTCTTGGATGCCCACCCCCCACCCCTTCGCACCACCCGTGTGGGCGCCGCCGAGGTGAACGCCAGGCCTGGGCATCGGCGGTGTCTCCGCTCCTCCTGGGCCGCCGCGGCAGCGCCGCTCTGGACGGCGTGGCTCTGGCCCGCCGTCGTGCCCGCGCCGAGGGCTGCGTCCGTGACCGCCACGCGGACGTGAGGCACGCCGAGTGCAGGGCAGGGTCTGCAAGGCGGGCTGCCTCGACGGTGACGTCCTGGTGCCGCTTGTCCCGGGCCGGGGAATTTGTGCTCCATTGGCCACGCCAGTGGCGCCACGGGCGCGGAGCGACTGCACCAGCCAGTTCCCGGCGCCGTCATTGCGCTGGATCGTGCCGCCCCCAACACGGCAGCCAGGCAGGGGCCTGGCGCGGCGGCCCCGGCAGCGGAGGGAGGTAAGGCTGGTGGTCGCAGGAAGGAGCAGCCGCAGGCGCAGCTCCGGGGCCGGCAGGAGGTGTGCGTTCGCCATGTCGTGGTCCTCCTGTGTCGGAGGCAGCAGCGAGCCCCCCGCGCCCATCTCGCTGAATCCAGCTGCGCGGCCTGGTCCGGCAGCAAAGCGCCCAGCAGCCGCTGCTGGCGCGCCTGCTCCTTTGGCCCCGTGAAGGCGCGCTGCGCCTTCGTGGTGGGCTCCGCGGCGACGCAGAGCCAGTCTTGCGCCGCGCGGCCCGTACCTGCGGCCGCCGGGCAGGCCCGCTGGAGAGCCTCACGGCTACGGGGTCCACGCTCGCTGCAGTCGCTGGCAGCGCAAGCCTGCCAGGCTCCCGCGCAAGCAGGTAGCCTGCGGTGAGCGAGGCCCTGGAGCCCGAGTCCGTTCCCTGCCGAGTCCTCCTGTTCCTCCTCCTCCTCCTCCGCCTCCTCCTCCTCCTCCTCCTCCTCCTCCTCCTCCTCCCCCTCCTCTTCCTCTTCCTCTCCCCCCCTCTTCCTCATCCTCTTCTTTCTCCTTCTCCCCTTCTTCCTCCTCCTTCGTTTCTTCCCCCTCCTCTTCCTCCTTCCTCTCTCCCCCCCTCTCCTCCTCCTCCTCCTCCTCCTCCTCTCCTCCTCCCCCTCCTCCTCCTCTCCTCCTCCACCTCCTCTCTCCTCTCCTCCTCCTCCTCCTCCCCCTCCTGCTCCTGCTGCTGCTCCTCCTCCTACTCCTCCCCGTCCTCCTCCTGTCCACCCTCCTCCTCGTCTCCTCCTGCTCTCCCTCGTCCCGCCCTTCCTTTCCTTACGTCGCTCGCTCCTCTCCCTCCCTGCCGCCTCCCTGGGCCGCTGCCGCCCGTCGCCCCCGTTCGGCCCCCGAGCCTCGGCGCCGCGCCCGGCAGGTCGCGGCCACGATGGGCGACAAGGTCTCCATCTACACGCCCAAGCTGCCAGAGGAAGCCCAGTCCCGCCTCGGCTTCCGCCACGCCATCTCTCTCTCTCTCTCTCCCTCTGTCTCGGTGTGTGTGTGTGTGTTTTATTTTTCTCTCTGCATCGATGTGCATATACATATGTAGATATATGTAAGCATGCATGCATGTATGTGTGCATGTATGTATGTAGGTAGACAGGCAGGTAGGTAGGTAGGTAGGTAGGTCTGTATGCATGCATGCATGCATGCATGCATGCATGTCTGTTTGTCTGTGAGCCTGTCTGTCTGTCTGTCTGTCTGTATGTATGTATGCATATATGTATACGTGTATGCATGTATGTATGTATGCATGCATGCATGCATGTATGTATGTATGTATGTTTGTATGTATGTATGTATATATGTATGTATGTATGCATGCATGCATGCATGCATGCATGTATGTTTGTATGTATGTTTGTCTGTCTATATGTATGTACGTACGCATGTATGCATGTACGTATGAATGTATGCATGTATGTACGTATGTATATATGCATACATGCATGCATGCATGTATGCATGTATGCATGCATGCATGTATGTATGCAATGTATGTATGTATGTATGTATGTATGTATGTATGTATGTATGTATGTATGTATGTATGTATGTATGTATGTATGTATGTATGTATGTATGTATGTATGTATGTATGTATGTATGTATGTGTGTTTGTGTGTATGTGTGTATGTGTGTAGGTATGTATGTGTGTATGTATGTATGTATGCATGCATGCATGCATGCATGTATGTATGTATGTATGTATGTATGTATGTATGTCTGTATGCATGTGCATGCATGTACATGTATGTATGGATGCTTGTCTGTCTGTCTGTCTGTCTGTCTGTCTGTCTGTCTGTCTGTCTGTCTGTCTGTCTGTCTGTCTGTCTGCATGCATGCATGCATGTATGTATGTATGTATGTATGTATGTATGTATGTATGTATGTATATATATATAGATATAGATATGTCTACACACACCCCTGGGGGGCTGGGCCGCGGCGCACAATCAGCTGCCTCGACCCTCCATGGGGGGACCGGGGGGTCAGGAGCCTCCCTGGAGCAGCCAAGACGGCTCCAGGGTGCCCCAAGAGCGCTCAAAGACAGGCCCCGAGGGCACCCGTACGCCCAAGATGGTCCCAAGATTGCCCCTGAGGCCCCCAAGACCGCCCAAGGCAAGCCCAAGAGCCTCCCAAGAGAGCCCCGAGAGGCTTCAATTGCTCAATTTCCTATGCGACAACGTACATTTTTCGTTTTCCGACGCTCCACGGCGGCCCCCGAAGCACACAAGACCGCCCCGAGACCGCCAAGAGACCCCCAAGACGCCCTCAAGAGGCCCCGATGGGAGGCCCCGGAGCCTCCCTGGAGCAGCCAAGACTGCCCCAGAGTGCCCCAAGAGCGCTCAAAGACAGGCCCCGAGGGCACCCGTACGCCCAAGATGGCCCCAAGATTGCCCCTGAGGCACCCAAGACCGCCCAAGGCAGGCCCTTCCCAGGAGAGCCCCGAGAGGCTTCAATTGTTCAATTTCCTATGGGAAAGCGTACATTTTGACATGCGCGACGTTTTCGCTTCCCGACGTTCCACGGCGGCCCCCGAAGCACACAAGACCGCCCCGAGATCTCCCAAGAGACCCCCAAGGTCCTTTCAAGAGGCCCCCATGACGGCTCAAGAGTCTCCCAGACAACCCAAGAGCTCTCGAGAACGGCCCCAGAGAGTCCCGAGACGGCTCTCCAGGCCGCCAGCGCGTCCCCCAAAATGCCCCGAGACGCACCCGAAACGCCCCCAAGAGCCCCAGAATGGACCCAGACCGCCTCATAATGGTTCCCAAGAGGCCGATTCACTGATCAGACGCCCCCCAGACGCCCCCAAGAGCCCAAGAATAGTCTCAGACGGTCTCAAAACGGCTCCCAAGTGGCCGTGCTTCGTTGTCGGTGGTACGGTCTGGAACTGTAGTACGGTGGGTGCGTCCGTTTGGGAAGGTGGGTCTCGGGATCGGTGTCCGCCGACAATTACGAGCCATGAAAGATGAGCCAGCAATTGTGCACAGCGCGTTCCGGCAGGGCTCTTCTGGAACACGCTGAGGGAAAAGGGAAGTCAGGAAGAGGAAAAGGAAGAGGAGGAGGAGGAGGAGGAGGAGGAGGAGAAGGAGGAGGAGGAGGAGGAGGAGGCGGAGGCGGAGGCGGAGGCGGAGGAGGAGGGGGAGAAGGAGAAGGAGGAGGAGGAGGAGGAGCAGGAGGATGAGGAGGAAGAAGAGAAATATGTTTTTTTGCAGCACGACCGCTGCGCTGCATGCTTAAAGCACCCAAGAAGTGTCTTGTGAGATGGTCACTCCTTTCTCTTTTGGATGGAAGCCTTTACAAATCTGGTTCCAGCTGTGCGGGCTATACTTGTAATTTTCACTGGTCTTCGTATCCTTGCGAGGGGCAGTGCGCAGCTCTCCAAGTTTCGCAAGACGGGCGCCAGAAATAGAACATTTGCAGACAGTGCAAACGACCAAAAGTGAATCGTTCGAACAGTCAAACAACACACATTTATGCCTGAGATCTGTTGGTGCTGCTTGCCGGAGGGTAGGGGCGGCAGCGTTTGCGCCCGAGCGACGGGCAAAAAGGGCGGCGCCCCTGAGTCGTCGTCGTGAGGGGTTATTGCGAACGGTTTCCTTTTTTTTTGTTTCCGGATTTTCTCGTGAAGCCGCGGCAGGCCGCGAGCTCGGAAAGCTTTCGGTAACCTGGCCGCCTTCAGAGGCGAGGCCGGACCCGAGCCCGGCAGGGCTTTGTTGCCGAGGAGTGCGGCGCGATCTCCCGACCCCAGCTGCTCGACCCTGATTGGGCGGGCCTTTGAAACCCTGATCCCCCCAAAGCTGTCATTTCCTGGAGATCTATGCTTCAAGCTCGTGTGCGCTGCTGCGGACATCTGGGGTCGTGGCGCGAAGCCGTCGCGAGCACGAGGCCCTCTCCCGGCGCTGGCCGCCGCGCCCTCGCAGCCGCGGAGCCGCGCTCGGCAGCCGACGGGGGGTCCGCCCGGCTGGCGTCGAGGCACGCCGCTGGGCCGGGGGGCCTCTGGCGCGCACGTCGCCCGTGCTCCCCCCCCCTCGCCTTCTCCCTCCCCTCCTCCTCCCTCCCTCCCCCTCCTCCCTCCTCCCTCCTCCCTCCTCCCTCCTCCCTCCTCCCTCCTCCCTCCCTCCTCTCGCCGCCCCCCCTCCCCTCCTCGTCGTTCCTCCCCCTACCGTCGTTCCTTCCTCTCCTCGTCCTCCTCCCCTCCTCGCCGCCCCGCCGCACTTCCCTCTCCCGGTGCTCTCCCCCCTTCTGCTTGCTCTCGCCCTCCCTTGCTCTTCTCCCCCCGGCGCGCTCGGACGTCGTGGTGGTGCCCTCCCCTCCGCCCGCTCCTGTCCCCTCGACCTCCTCCCCCTCCTGGGGAAATCAAAACGTGCCGATACTGCTACTCCCTGGACCTCTCCAGGGGTGCGTTTCGACCATGATTTCGAGGCGAATCCAGTGGTGGCGACGAGGGCATCCCAGGAGGCCCCCCCAAAGAGAAAACGGGCGAAGGGTAGTGGTATGGGTACCTTGTCCTCCTCCGACGCTCCTCGTCGTTCCTCCTCCCCCTCCTCGTCGTTCTCCTCCTCGGCCCTCCTTGAGCTCGGGGCGCTGCTGTTTGATTTAGCGCCGGGTGCGTTTGCGCCCGGCCTCAGGCCCTAGGATCCTCGCGGATCGTTTTCGGTTCGGAATATGTCGCAGAAGCGTTGAGTTTTAGGGCTCTGGCCGCGATGTTTCGCGACGCAAGGTCGGACCTCAGGGCTTTCCTCGTCCCCCTCTCCGTGCTGGCCCACCCCGACCCTCCTCGCCCTCGCCACCTTCCTATCTCCCCATGCCCCACTTTCCCCTTGCCCCTTCCCCCGTCCCCCTCCGGTGGCATCTCCCCCTCCACTTCCCGGTCCCCGTCCCCATCCTCTCCCTTCCTCCCCCTCCCGCTCCATATCTTCCCCCTTCGGGCTTCGAGCCTCGAGCTGCATGCCTGATTCTTCAGTGAAGCGAGGCCCTCGATCCTCTTCATCGTCGTCGTCGTCATCGTCCTCCGTCTTTCTTTCTTTCTCCTCGTCCTCCTCCTCCTCCTCCTCCTCCTCCTCCTCCTCCTCCTCCTCCTCCTCCTCCTCCTCCTCCTCCCCCTCCTCCGCCTCCTCCTTCTCCTCCTTCTCCTCCTCCTCCTCCACTTCCTCCGCCTCCTTCTCCTCCTCCTCCTCCTTCTCCTCCTCCTCTCCTCCTCCTCCTCCTCTCCTTCCTCCTCCTTTCTCCTCCTCCTCCTCCTCCTCCTCCTCCTCCTACTCCTCCTCCTCCTTCCTGGAGGAGGCGCAGGCCTCCCGCCGACGTGGCACCGCCCGTCCCAGCAAGGGCCCAGCGGCTCCCACACGAGGCGGCGCGAGGAGCGCCGCCTCCGCCGCCCCCCCGAGCCCGCCCGCCGCGCAGTGCGTGCGCCCGTGCTTCGACAGCCTCCAGTTCATCGCGGACCTCCCGGAGGGAGGGGGGGTGGCGCAGAAGTAGCCTCGGGGGCGTCCAAGAGGGGATAGGAGAGGGAGGACAACGTCGTTGATGATCGGAGTTTTTTTTGTTCGCCTCGGGGTGACTTCCAGCAGCTGCGCGTCTTTGAGGGCTTTCCGGGGGTGCCCGGTCCGCCTCGAACGGCCGCCAGAGGCCCGAGTTACGAGCCGAAGTCCACCAGGCGTCGAAGAGGGGGGTGATTACAAGTGGGGTTTGGACATCAGGGCCAGGGCTTCGACATATCTTTGATTTCGTGCCCACATCGTCTTCTTTCAGCACATCCCCTGGGCCCCCTCGTCCGCGCACGTTTCTCGGGCCATGATGTGCTAACCCCTCTTTTCTTGGCCCTCATCTTCGGGACACCCGAGCTTGGGATGATGAGGGGGGGGAGGAGGAGGAGGAGGAGGAGGAGGAG